CACAGCTCCTGATGCTCGACGACCAGCGCATCCACCTGCCGCACTGGGCCAAAGTGGTGAAGAGCAGCTCCCCTTCCTTCCCCTCCGCCTCGCTGTCCAGCCCCAGGCTCTTTGGGAGATGGAGCCGTGGCCTCTCCCAGCCCTAGAGAGAGTGGGAGCAAACCGGGTCTGCCGGAGCGGCCGCCTCCGCCTGTGCCCGGCGGGAGTGAGGACAGGAGGTGGCACCCACACCCTGGATCCCCGGATCCTGCCTGTGCTGCTGGGCACCAGCACCTTTTCTGGGCAGAGTTTTGGCTGGTTTGGTTTCCCCCCACGATGCTCTTTGGGGATATTGGTTTAAACAAGGAGGAAAGAAAGTAAAATGTGCTCCTGTCCCAGCCTCAAGCCAGGCAGCGTGCTCCTCCTTTCCCTCCATGGCTGCAGGGCTGGACCACCCCAGGGGGGTGTGGAGGGAGGACAAGGCAGAAGTGGGGGCAAGGGGCCCACTGAGGGGCAAACCTGTGCCCACCCCCTTAGCACTGCACCCAGCAAGGTGCCAAACCCCTGTTGGGGCACCAGATCCATGCTAGGGTGCAGTGCTGCAGGGTGTGGCACCCACGGCATGGGACAAGAGGTGGCCTTGAGAGACCACATGGAGTGCATGAGTCCATCCCTACAGGCTTCAGGCATGGGTAGCCTGGGTGTGAGGCATCTCCTTTGCTCCGCAGGTGCTGGGAAATGCCACAGCTGCCCGTTATGTGGCTGGCCTGGCCGTCCACTGGTACCTGGATGCCATTGTCCCACCTGCCTGGAGCCTGGAGGCCACCCACAAGCTCTTCCCTGACCATTTCCTTCTCTACACTGAGGCCTGCACTGGCTTCTTCATGTTCCGCTTCGCCGTGTCCCTGGGCTGCTGGGAGAGAGGAGACCACTACAGCTACAGCATCCTGACGGTACTGCCCTCACACAGGCCTCACATGGCCCTCACACCACCCTCACTCGGCCTTCACACAGCACTCACAGTACCCTCACTCTGCTCTTACACAGCCCTCACTTTGCCCTCACATGGCCCTCACACGGCCCTCACAGTGCCCTCACATGGGTCCTTACAGTGCCCTCACACAGCCCTCACAGTGCTCTCACATGGCCCTCACATGGCCCTTACTTGGCCCTCACAGTGCCCTCACTCTGCTCTCACAGGGCCCTCACTCTGCCCTCACAGGGCCCTCATAGGGCCCTCACACAGCCTTCACACTTCCCTCACTCTACCCTCACACCGCCATCACTCAGCCCTCACACCATCCTCACACAGGCCTCACACGGCCCTCACTTGGCCCTCACAGTGCCCTCACTCTGCCCTCACCTGTTCTCATAGGGCCCTCACACAGCCCTTACAGTGCCCTCACACTGCCCTTACAGTGCCCTCACACCACTCTCACAGTGCCCTCACTCTGTTCTCACAGGGCCTTCATGCAGCCCTCACACAGCCCTCACAGTGCCCTCACTCTGCTCTCACACAGCCCTTACAGGGCCCTCACAGTCCCCTCACACAGCCCTTACAGTGCCCTCACACTGCCCTCACACCACTCTCTCACAGCCCTCACTCTGCCCTCACACCCCCAACCCAGGTCTGTGGGCACCCCCACTCAGCCCCTTCCCTGCCCCCCCCAGGTCATGAACCACTTTGTGTCCGGTTGGACCGACTGGAACCTGGCCCTGGACCTGGGTGGAGGTCCCAACTGGGTCAAGAACTTTGTGGACAGCCCCGTCATCGTGGATGGCAGCAAGGATGTCTTCTACAAGCAGCCCATGTTCTACCACATGGGGCACTTCAGGTGGGTCAGGGGAGCTCAGGTGCGGCCACCAGCCCCAGAGCAGGGGCAGAACCCCTCTGCTGGTCCTCTCCCCACAGCAAGTTCATCCCCGAGGGCTCCCGGCGTGTGGGACTGCACAGCAGCCGCCGCTGCCTCCTGTGCCAGCTGGAGCACGTGGCTGTCCTGCGCCCTGACGGTGCCCTTGTCCTGGTGGTCCTCAACAGGTCAGCCCAGGTAGGGATGAGGGTGGTGCTCAGCCCCAGCCATGCCTGCTCAGCCTCTCTCTTTCTCCCCAGGTTTGGCCGGGATGTGCCCTTTGGAATCCGGGACCCTGCCATGGGCTTCATTGAGACTGTGGCTCCAGCTCACTCCATCCAGACCTACCTGTGGCGCCAGCAGTGACAACCAGGGGACTGCTGGGGGGCTCTGGGGGTCAACTCTTCATCCACCCTTTTCAACATCCCTCAAGGGTGGAAGAAGAAGATGGGAGTGCACGAGGGGTTCTGTGTGTTCCTGGCACTGGGACCTGCTGCTCCCCATCCTCCCGGCACTTCCCATCCCCCTGGAAGTTCCCTCAGTCTCCTGGAGCACACTTCCACACGTGGCCCCCTTGAAACCTTCGCGTGTGCGGCGGGCGCCAAGTAAAGCCATGACGCGCTCCCTCCGGAATGCGCCGTTGTTCCCGTCAGTGTTTCCTCTGCGCGCTCGGAAATCGCTCGGTTTTCCTCGCCGGGGCCAGGGCTGCCCCGGGGGCTCCTGCCCCCGTGGCCTGCGGGTGGCTCCTTGTTTATCCCTGCAGCTGGAGCCTCTGCTGCTGCCAGCCCTTGATTCGTTCCATATGCGCTGTTGGTTTTCCCCAGCCTACTTTTTTTTGGGGGGGGGAATTAAAAAAAAAAAAATCCAAATGTCAGACGCTGTCTGAAAGGCAGAGTAAATGATATCAGTGTGCCCATCCACCAAACCTTATGGATAAATTAGGTTGGTGCTACCTCTCCAGGGTGGCCTGTGGACAGAGTCCCCTCTATTCTGGCTGTGGCCAACCCAGGCCGCAGCCCGCAGTGACCTCCCTGTCCTGTTTGCTTTCCCTAAATACCAGTTACAGTATTCCCTGTGCCTTTGGGAACATTACCAGCACCTTTGAAGTGCAGGAATGAGAAAGCCAGAGCTCTCCTTGGCCAATGCCCCTGTGTGAAAGCCACGGAACTGCTGAGGTTGGGGAAAATGAAAAACCCAGAGGCTTTACAGCTGGTTTATTGGAGTGTGGTGTGAAGGTGGCACTGGGCTCCGTCCCAGCCCTGTTCCTGGAGCACACCAGCCTGTCCTGTGCTTTTATCCATGTTCCTGGGGAGTGCTGGCCCCAACAGCAGCTGGGTCTGGCTGCCTGTGCTTAGAATCATAGAATGGAGTCATGGAATCCTTGAGGTTGGAAAAGACCTCGAAGATCATCAATTCCAACCCAAGTTCCCCCAGCGCTGCCAAGGCCAGCCCTAAATCACGTCCCCAAGTGCTCCTTACACATTTATTAAATCCCTCCAGGGATGGCAACTCCACCACTGCCCCAGGCAGCCGATGCCAGGGCTGCACAGTCCTGTCCATGAAGAAATTTTCTGTAATATTCAATCTAAACCTCTCCTGGGAAATGCCACAGCTCTCCTGATGCAACTTGAGGCCTTTTCCTCTTGTCCTCTCCCTGTTCCCTGGCAGCAAAGCCTGACCCTAACCTGGCTGTCCCCCCTGTCAGGGAATTGTGCAGAGCCACCTGAGCCTCCTTTTCTCCAGAAACCCCCCCAGCTCCTCTTGGAGCTCCAGACTCCTCCTCAGCTCCACCCCCTTCTCAGATAATGCTCCAGACCCCTCCTCAGATCCACCCCCTTCTCAGATAATGCTCCAGACCCCTCCTCAGCTCCATCCCCTTCTCAGATCATGCTTCAGACCCCTCCTCAGCTCCATCCCCTTCCCTGGACATGCTCCAGCCCTCATGAGGGGCACAGAACTGACCCCAAGGATTTGAGGTGTGCCCTCATCAGTGCCCAGGTTCTGCTGCCACACCATTCCTGACACTTTGCGAATGTCCCCTTCCCAAGATGACGGCCCACATGGAGCCCTCACCCCTCGGTGTTCAGCAGTGCCCAGGGGTCAAACTTGCAGGGAAAGGCTTTAGCCCAGCCCCTCTGGGCTGGCTCGCTGCTCCTGCCTGTTTGGAACCACAGCAGGATGGTTGTGAGGGGTGGGGTGAGGCTGAAGAACCACCCCCGTCATCCTCACTGCCTGCAGCGTGGGCTGGGGGATCCCTTCTCTGGGGGCAGCAAGAGGAGCAGAGCCTTGGGTGGGAGGTGTGTTTTCTTCATGGGATGGGACTGTTGGGGTACATTCCTCGAGCTTTATTTGCAGAATCACTCTCATGACGTGGCTGAGACAACAGGAAGGTAAAACTCATGTACAGCCAGTAGCAGCTGAAGAGTTCTTTGTTACAGAGCACTTGAAAAACTTTCTAGCCAAGAGCACATTGCTAAAGCTCACAGACAATCGTTTTAGCCAATAACTAAAAGTACTAAAAATACTAAAAGTACTAAGAGTACTCGTTAACATTTTCTTCTTTCAGACTTTGCAGCTGCTCCGTTCTTTCTGTTTCTAAGGCCTGCATTTCAAGCTTTCAAATCGCCTCACCTTTGCTGTTTCCCACAGGGGGCTGTGACCCTGGTTCCTGGCTGGGGATGTGACACTGAGTGAGGGACAGTGGTCCCTGGGTGGGGGTCTCTTCCTGGCCACCCCCACCAGCTGCCCAAGGGGACCCCGAGGAGCTGCCACTCCCCCTCCCCGTGCCTCTGCCCGCCTCCTGTTTCTCCTGCGGAGCAGATGCCTGTAATTAGGAAGGATCCCAAATTAGACGGTGTGGAGCCCAGACTTGTTTTGCCGATGATAAACCGCTGCTGCCGGCTCCACCCAGCCCGCTGCGGCGTGGGGCTCCGGCCTGTGGGGCACGGCGGGGGCGAGGGGACTTGGGGGGCAGCCCCTGCTCTGTGCCCACCCCAGGAGGGGTCGGGAATCCCTGCCATGAGCTGCTGCTGCCTCTGCCCGTGCCAGGAAAGGTCCTGGAGCAGCCACAAACGGGACACAGGTCATGGTGGTGGCACTGGTGGCACAAAGCCCAAGTGCTGCCAAGAGCAGGGACGCAGGGTGGGCACAGCCTGCCCTGTCTGAGGTGTTCCAGGGACACAGAGCTGCTTTTCCCAAGGGAAGCAGGGCAAGCCTGGCTATGGGGGGTGATGGAGGCACTTGGGGGCTGGAGAGCATCCTCCCCTCCCCAGCTTCCCTCTGGCCACTGGAACAGGTTTCAGGAGAGCTTTGCAAATGCTGCGGTGTGTGGAAAGCTCTTTGGAGCCAGGTTGCAAAATCATCCCCGGGCTCCTCTTCAAACACAGAGTCCCATGAGCTGTCCCATTCCAAACTCACCTTTCCTGCTCCTCCAGAAGCGTTCCCTCCCACCAGGCTCAGCTGGGACACGGGACCTGCCACCGCTGCCACAGAGACGCAGCAGCAAGAGGTGGTTTGGAGGCAGGTGAGTCCCCTGGGCCCGAGGTGGGAATGGGGACAGAGATGGGCATCAGGATGGGCATGGGACAGCCCTGGGCAGCAGGACAGGACTGAGGCCATGCCCTGGCCAAGCTGGGCATCATTCCCAGGCAGGAGTGGGAGGCAATGGAGGTGGGACAGCTGCCTGGCCCCGCTCCACATCCTACAGGAGCTACAAGAGGGCACCATCCCACCCTGGCAGAGGTCCCCAGGTGTCCTCAGTCTGGCACCAGGGTCCTGAGGCTTGGAGGTGGCTCCTCCTGTGCTCTCATTGACAGGCTCCTTGCCCAGTAGCATGGGAAGGACAGGACAGGGTGTAAGCACCTGAAAGAACAGAGGAATGTGGGACTCTCCATGCCAGGGGCTGGAGCCCCAAACCACTCTGGCTGGACAAGCCCCAGCTTCCAGACCTGTGGGATTGGGAGTGTGGAGCTGTTTGCTCCTGGGCATGGCTTGGGGGGCACTGGGGATACATGGGGTGATGCAGCATGGCATGGCATGGCATGGCATGGCATGGCATGGCATGGCATGGCATGGCATGGCATGGCATGGCATGGCACAGCTGTGGAACGGGTGAGGAGAAGGAGTGGGAGGGAGTTGATGGGAGTGGACAAAGTTGCTGGGTACAGCCAGCGTGGGCAGCTAGGAGCAGCAGGCTCACACCTGGGGGCTGCCCACACCTGGGGGGCTGCACCCCCACCTGGGACATGGCCAGAACTGTTGGTGGGCTCTGGAGGGGTGGGAGGGAAGGTGGGCTCTGGGCTGGAGCAGTGGGCAGAGGGCAGGACAGGCTTAGCCCTGGCATGAGGGGTTCAAAGGGTCCCCTGGGCAGGGGGATGATGCTGGGGCTCTCCCTGTGTCCCTGTGTGTGGCTGGGCCAGGCTGAGCAGCTCTGGGTGCTGACACCTTGTCCTGCTCCCAGCGTGTCCATCGGCATCGTCGGAGCAGCTGCAGCAGAGGTGCCATGGGGCCAGGTTGTGCCAGTGTCCTGGGCTGGCTCCTGCTGGCACAGGCAGCCCTGCAGGTCACAGGTACGTGCTGGCACGTGTCCCTGAGCTTTGGAGGGTGGCAGATTTGGAGTCTGTTGTGGGTCAAAGGGATGAGCTGGGCTCCTGCCACAGCCCTCAGTGCCCACCTGGTCTTTCCTCTGCTGCAGGTGGCCGTCCCTGTGATGCCAAGGATTTTGGGCATGGCTCGCCGGTCTGTGCCTGCAGTGCCACGTACTGTGACACTCTGGACCCCCTGGTCCTGCCAGCCCCTGGCTCCTACATCAAATATGAGAGCAGCAAGGCTGGCAAGAGGCTGGAGCGGAGCGAGGGGAGCTTCCAACACAACGCCAAGAGCCCAGGTACCACCCTAGGCTGTGGGAGGGTCTGTCCTCTCACAGGTGGCAGGGCTGGTGACACTGTGTGTCCCCACAGATTTCCACCTCACCCTGGACACCACACAGAGGTACCAGAAGGTGAAGGGCTTTGGTGGCTCCATCACTGACGCAGCTGCCATCAACATCCAGTCCCTGTCCAAGGCTGCCCAGAACCACCTGATCCGCTCCTACTTCTCTGAGGAAGGTGAGCCCAGGGCAGCAAAGCTGTTGGGGTGTGGCAGCTGAGATTTGTTCTGGGGGGCTGGGGGATCTGGAACCCCAAAATGCAACTTGAGAATGCCCATCACTACCTGCCCTGTCCTCAGGCATTGAGTACAACCTGGTGCGCGTGCCCATGGCCAGCACTGACTTCTCCATCCGCCTGTACACCTACGCTGATGCCGAGGGAGACTTCGAGCTGAGGCACTTCAACCTGACCGAGGAGGACACGCACATGAAGGTGAGTCCTGCAGGAAGGGTCTGAGGGACTGGGGCTGCTGTCTGGGTGGCATAGGATGAGATCCATGGGATGGGATCAGTGGGAGGGGGTGGGATGGGGTCCACGGGATGGGATGGGATGGGATNTGCTGGTGAGCGAGGCTCGGCAGATGGCCAGCGTGGCCCACAAGATCCGCATGGAGCTCCTGACTGTCAACGACGTGTACCTCCTGTCCACCTTCCGCCTGCCCCCCAAGCAGGGCGGGACCCTCTTCGGCCTCTACTCCAAGAAGGACAACACGCGATGGCTGGAGGTGTCCGTGGTGGGGAAGATTAACAAAGGTGGGTGGGGATGGACTGGGACGGATGGGGCTGAGCTCCTGCAGGGAAGAACAACGGGCACACACCACTGCCAGGGTGCTGCCGGTGCTGGGGGGGAGCTGACGGCCCCTTCCCGCTGCCCTGCAGTCCTGGTGAGGTACCTGCGGGAGGACAACAAGGTGCACTCGGTCAACCTGCAGCACGCGCACGTGGCGGACGGGCAGAGCCACTCTGTCATCGTGCGCCTGAGCGGGCTGCGCAGGGACACGCTCAGCGTGGAGCTCTACGTGGACTGCAAGCAGATGGACTCCAGCGTGGGGCTGCCCGAGCTCTCCGAGATCCCCCTGGGCGAGGTGGAGTCCATCGAGGTGCGCACAGGGGTCAAGGCTTACCAGAGGATGCAGGTGAGTGCCGGGGGGATTGAGAGCCTGACTAATGCACGCTTGGGGATGGGCAGAGCCCTCCATGCTGATTGCATCTCCCCACACACATCAGGGGTTTGTAGAGTCGATGAAGCTGATCCTGGGAGGGTCCATGAGCCGTGTAGGGGCCCTGAGTGAGTGCCCTTTCCAAGGAGATGATTCCATTCACAGTGCAGGTAATGGCTTGGGAGGCTTTTGGGGTCATGTGTGTGGGCTGTGGCACAAGGAGGTTGGGGGATGACAGCACAGAGGGGTGTTCCTGTCCCTCCTGGCCCAGTGTCCCCACACAGGTGGGAGCTGCAGTGCTGCACATGTGCTGACCAGGAGTGACCATGTGAGGTGACACTGCTGGGGTGTGACAGCAGCAATTGGTAATGCCTCGTCTCTCTCCTTGCAGTGACGAGTGTGCTGGCCTCCATCCTGGGTAAGCCCCTGCTCTGCTTCCCTCATTGCCTGGTGTGAGGTGTTTGGGGTTCCATGGAGGCAGAAATCCCTGCACAGCCTGTCCCAGTGCCCCATGTGGGATCAGAGGGTGTGGGGTGTGCTATAGGGAAACGTGCCCTGTGTGAGCACAGGCTGTCAGGTGCCTCATCCTCCTAGCTCAGTGCCAATGGGCAGAGCAGTCCTGGCCCACAGCCCTGGGAGATTTTGTGCTGGGATTGACCTTTCCTTTCTGCTGCTGGCAGGTGAGCAGACCAAGGCACTGGTCACGCAGCTGACCCTCTTCAACCGGCTCCTGACCGAGCTGCGGGAAGACATCAGGGACCAGGTGGGACTGAGGGGGTGCTGACACTCCCTGGGCTGGGTTTTCCCAGCACCCTCCTGATGCTCTGTGCTCTGCTGCCTTGCAGGTGAAGGAGATGTCTCTGATCCGCAACACCATCATGGAGTGCCAGGTCTGCGGTGAGTGCTGGCGAGGCCCTGCTCCCACCTCGGGGGGCAAAGAGTCACCTTGTGTCACCCTTCACCTGCCTCTCCTCTCCTCAGGCTTCCACGAGCACCGCTCCCGCTGCAACCCCAACCCCTGTTTCAGCGGCGTGGACTGCATGGAGACGTACGAGTACCCTGGGTACCGCTGTGGGCCCTGCCCGCCGGGGCTGGAGGGCAACGGCACCCACTGCGCTGACATCGAGGAGGTGGGCATGGGCTGGCACTGCCAGGGCTCTGCGTGCAGGGGATGCTTCCTCTGGGAATGCCCTGGGGCAGCTGCCACCCTGAAGGATGCTGTGCCAAGGATGAAGCTGGTGTGTCTCTGGTGTTGCAGTGTGCCCATGCCAACCCCTGCTTCCCGGGCTCCAAGTGCATCAACACAGTCCCGGGGTTCCGCTGCGAGCCCTGCCCCCGGGGCTATCGGGGCAACACCGTGTCTGGCGTGGGGGTGGACTATGCCAGGGCCAGCAAGCAGGTGAGTGCAGTGCATGGGGCTGTGGGGTCCCTGTGGGATCCCTGGAGTGCAGGACAGCATGGATGATGTTGGAGCAGGACATCTTCCCGTGGGCAGGAATGGGCAGAACCACCCACAGGGAAAAGCCCCAGGTGAGCATTTCTCCCACATTACTCACAGGTTTGCACAGATATCGATGAATGCAACGATGGGAACAATGGGGGCTGCGACCCCAACTCCATCTGCACCAACACTCAGGTGAGCAGCGCTGTCCCGCTCCCTCCCTTGCTCCCGGGGCCGCTCAGCTCCCTCATCCCAGCCCTGCCTTCTCTCCCCCAGGGCTCCTACAAGTGTGGGCCCTGCAAGTCGGGCTTTGTGGGCAACCAAACGTCTGGCTGCGTGCCCCAGAGGTCCTGCAGCACTCCCACCTCCAACCCCTGCGACATCAACGGCTTCTGCCTGTTTGAGAGGAACGGGGAGATCTCCTGTGCTGTGAGCAGGGGATGGGGACAGGAGGAGGGTGTGGGGGGTACAGAACGGCAGCATTGGTCCTGCCAGGGCCTTTTCTAGCTCCTGATCTCTTTATTCAGTGCAACGTGGGCTGGGCTGGCAATGGCAACGTGTGTGGGCCAGACACAGACCTGGATGGGTACCCGGACGAGCCCCTGCCCTGCATTGACAACAACAAGCACTGCAAGCAGGTGGGCTCCTGCAGGGGAGGCCCAGGGGGTGCAGGATCCACAGCAGGGCTGTGCTCCAGACCTCATCTCCTGCCTGTCCCTAATGCTGGCTGTGCCTGCAGGACAACTGCCGCCTGACGCCCAATTCTGGCCAGGAGGATGCTGACAACGACGGCATTGGGGACCAGTGTGATGACGATGCTGATGGTGATGGTGTCAAGAATGTGGAGGTGGCTGTGCTGGATGGGTGGCCATGCCAGTGGCTTGAGGAGAGCTTCTTGTTTTGGCTCAGTTCTGAGTCCCTCAAGATGCTTCTCCTGGGGAGCAGCAGGCTGGTGGTTTGGGGATGGTCTCAGGGTGCTGGAGATGTCTGTCTGCCCTGACCACTGTGGGACTGTGGCCTCTTCTTTGCCCACCACTGCAATGCCAACATCCCCATTCTCTTCTCCACAGGACAACTGCCGGCTCTTCCCCAACAAGGACCAGCAGAACTCGGACACTGACTCCTTTGGGGATGCCTGTGACAACTGCCCCAACGTGCCCAACAATGACCAGCGGGACACGGACAGCAACGGCGAGGGGGATGCTTGTGACAATGACATTGATGGGGATGGTGAGCCGCTCTTGGGCTTGCCTGGCTGTGCCAGGGGGGCAGGGTATCCTGTAGGGGAGGGCATCCACTCAGCACCATCCTTGCAGGGATACCCAACATGCTGGATAACTGCCCCAAGGTGCCCAACCCTCTGCAGACCGATCGGGACGAGGACGGTGTTGGGGATGCCTGTGACAGTTGCCCTGAAATGAGCAACCCCACTCAGGTATGGCTGGGGCCAGGCTGGGCCTGGGATGATTGGGGCCTGGCTCAGTGGGGCCTCCTCTTCCTCGCCCCAGGATGTGCACTGAACTAGGGCTCCGCTCTCCTCCAGACAGATATGGACAGTGACCTGGTAGGAGACATCTGTGACACCAACGAGGACAGGTGGGGATGGCACTACAGTGGGGTGACCTCCCAGTTGTGTCCCAGGAGGCAGAACTGAGCTCCTGGTTCAGGGACCTGTCAGGAGGGACAGTGGGGTCTTTGGGGAGATCCTCACTTTTGTCATTGCTCTGACCTCGTTCTTGCTCCCAGTGATGGAGATGGACATCAGGACACCAAGGACAACTGCGCTGAGATCCCCAACAGCTCCCAGCTGGACTCGGACAACGATGGGCTGGGGGATGACTGTGACAATGATGATGACAATGATGGCATCCCGGACTATGTGCCACCTGGCCCAGACAACTGCCGCCTCATTCCCAACCCCAACCAGAAGGACTCAGACGGTGAGCATGGGGTGAGCAGGAGGAGATGGACCTGCCTGGGCTCAGCCCAGCCCTGACTGAGCACTGTCCCCAGGGAATGGCGTGGGTGACGTCTGCGAGGAGGACTTTGACAATGACACGGTGGTGGACCAGCTGGACGTGTGCCCCGAGAGCGCCGAGGTGACACTGACCGACTTCCGCGCCTACCAGACCGTCATCCTCGACCCCGAGGGGGACGCCCAGATCGACCCCAACTGGGTTGTGCTCAACCAGGTGTGGGTGCTGCGCCCCGTGTTTCTGGGGGCTGCGCTGCAGGGTGGGGGCTCAGGGCACTGGGAGGTCACCAGGGGTGAACCTCACCCAGCTGTCCCCTCACAGGGCATGGAGATCGTGCAGACCATGAACAGCGACCCGGGTTTGGCTGTGGGTAAGATATATTCACCCACCCACAGGTTCTTGGGGGCAGCCCCCCTAACTCCCACCATGCAGGGTGAGGGTCGGTTGGCAGTCCCGTGGGGAGAGAGGGCTCCCCACAGCGTTTCCTGCCTGTAGGTTACACAGCCTTCAACGGGGTGGACTTCGAGGGCACCTTCCACGTCAACACCATCACCGACGATGACTACGCCGGCTTCATCTTCAGCTACCAGGACAGCGCCAGCTTCTACGTGGTGATGTGGAAGCAGACGGAGCAGACTTACTGGCAGGCCACCCCCTTCCGGGCTGTGGCCGAGCCGGGGCTGCAGCTCAAGGTGGGTGGTGGCCCCACCCATAGGATGGGTCAGGCCCCCTTTTGAGCCCCCCCTGAAGCCCCCATGCACCTGCAGGCGGTGAAATCCTCGACGGGCCCCGGGGAGCACCTGCGCAATGCTCTGTGGCACACGGGCCACACGCCCGACCACGTCCGCCTGCTCTGGAAGGACCCGCGGAACGTGGGCTGGAGGGACAAGACGTCCTACCGCTGGCAGCTGGCACACAGGCCCCAGGTGGGCTACATCAGGTAAGCAGGGGGGGCGTGGGGACCGCTGGGAAGGGGGCTGTGACACCACCAGTGGTGCACCCCCAGTGCGGGGGAAGTCACTGGGGAGAAACCAGCCCTAGAGTGAACCAGCCCTGTGATAACCACGAGTTAGGGTCCTGTGGATCCCCCTCAGGGGTAGGAGGATGTCCTTGAGGAGGTGTTGTGCTTCCTGGGACCACCCTAGTGAGGGGATGCTGGCCGTGGGGTGATCCAGCCCTGCGGGACCACCACAGTGTGGAGGTGCCGGCCATGAGGGGATCCATCCCTGTGGGACCATCTTAGTGGGGTGATTTTGGCCATGGGGGGGATCCAGCTCTGTGGTACCACCGCAGTGTGGGGATGCTGGCCATGGGGGGGAACCAGCCCCCGAGACCCCCGCAGAGGGGGAATTTTGGCCATAGGGGGGATCCAGCCCCGTGGGACCACAACAGTGAGGGGATTTTGGCCATGGGGGGATCCATCCCAGTGGGACCACCGCAGTGTGGGGATTTTGGCCATGGGGAGGGTTCCTGCCCGGTGGGGCCGCAGCCGCGTTTCTCCTTTAAGGCTCCCGCCGGGNTCTGCCCTGCAGAACCTCAACAACTACGTGACGGGCTGGACTGACTGGAACCTGGCCCTGGACATGGAGGGAGGCCCCAACTGGAGCAAGAACTATGTGGACAGCCCCGTCATCGTGGACAGCAGCAAGGATGTCTTCTACAAGCAGCCCATGTTCTACCACCTGGGCCACTTCAGGTGGGTCAGGGGGAGCCACAGGCTGCTGGCTTCAGGTACCACATCCTAAGTACCACACTCTGACCCTGCCTGTCCCCACAGCAAGTTCATCCCCGAGGGCTCCCAGCGGGTGGGACTGGCTGTCTCCAAGAAATGCCACCGGTGTGACCTGGAGCACTCTGCTTTCCTGCGCCCCGACGGTGCCATTGTGCTGGTGGTCCTGAACCGGTGAGTGGCTGGGTTCTGATCCCTGCTAAAAGGCCCCACTGATCCCACTGAGCCCCCATCCCCTCTGGCTTTCCCCACAGCTCCCCCACGGACGTGTCCTTTGGGATCTCTGACCCGCACGTCGGCTTCATCGAGGCCGTGGCTCCCAGCGACTCCATCCAGACGTTCCTCTGGAAGCAGCCAGCCTAGCCTGGCACGGGAGGGAGGTGCCAGAGCCAGGAACATGCTGCTGGTGGCAGCTTGGAGACAAGACTCCAATGGGGCTGGGGCTGCAGCACAATCCCTGCAGCCCCCTGCGCCCCAGAGGACCTGTATGACCCGGGGGCTGCAACGCCTGTGCTTTTCTAGATGTTTCATAAAATCAACAGGTTTTCTACAAACTTGCACGAACCCCTGATCTCCCCTTGGTGCCAGCTCTGTGGGCAGGACTATGCCAGGGGCCAGAGGAGGCAGATTTGAGGTTCCTGGGGCGTCCCACAGGGTTGGTGCTGCAGGGGACTGTCCCCATAAGGGGTGGCATCTCTCTCCTGTCTTCCACTGCAGCATCCCCCAGGCAGGGAAGGGCCCAAAGCTGCAGTCAGGACACGCAGCCGGGATTTAGAGCAGAGCTCTGGCGTCCGCAACCCCAGCTTCTCCCCAGCCAGAGCTGTGCTTTCTCCTCCTGCTGGAGCAGCCATCAGCCCCTGCAGCTAATGGGAACCGGGAGCACGGGGCACATAGTTCCTGAGTGACGTTAGAGGGGTTTGCACTGACTCACCCCCTCCCAGTGGGGCCCCTCGAACTGGGCCAGTATGGGGGAGGCTCCGCAGCTGGCCCAGCACCGTGGCTCTGCTCCA